GGATGTTTGGGGATGTTACGGATATTTATCTACTCTTCATGGCAGAATGCAAGAGCCCAAGCCTGTATCACCCTTCACCTCTCCCGTGCTGTCATGATACCCACACCTGAAAAGGTCACACCATGTTTTCCCCTGTGATTCTGGGCTGCCTGGACTCTCTCCAAAAAAAGAGGTGTCATCACCAAAAGCTGTCCTTCCTGGTGGGACTCTGCTCACAGGAGCCTCTACAGGGAGATGCACATCTTAGGAAGTGTCCTAATATCACAGCCCTTGCCCTAGCAGTCTAGGCATACATCCAGGAGGCCTCCCTGTAACTCTGAGCTGCTACACATTTCATTTCCCATCACACAGTTCAACGAGTCTGTTGAGGGGCCTGACAGCAGTGCTGCCTGCTGAGTTCAGCAGACATGTCCTTCATTCAACAGTGTTGGAAATGTTACCACATTATACAACCACACAAGCCCTCAAGTTTTTTCACATGCCAAGCCCTTCCTCTGCACCTTTACAAGCGCTGGTGACTCATATATAACTTGTGACCACCAAGTTCCTTTTAGATCAGCTGACTTCCTGACTCCTGTCTTTGCAATAGGAGCAGGAAAGTGTTTATACATCTGAAAATCAACTGAAAGCCTCAGGCTTAGTGCGTGCGTGATGGCTCGTGTCCAAACAGAGCTATACCTCTGACTGCATACTTAGGTCCTGCAAGTTTTGCAAGATGAAGTGAGAAACAGATGAACAGAGAGCTTTTTTTTTTTTTAAATGCAACACTGTAGAAGAACTAAAAAACAAACTCTTGCACCATTTCGCTTTCACATGAAGCCAAACTAAATAACGTTAACTAACTATTGTGAATACTGCATTATTTAACATAATTCAAAGGTTAATTTCCAAATTACAGGAATCATGCAATTCAGTTGCAAACTTCTTTTTTGACCCTTAATACTGGTCATCTTTCAATTAAAGTAGAAATTCCACTGGACTCAGCACAGTTGGATCTTTACAGACAGTTATCTGTGCCTCAGCATACTTCCTTATCATGAGTGTTAGCAGGTTCTACTGCCTATCATGCATGTAATGGTCCAAAATATTTGTGCAGGTCATTAAATGCCTCTTGCATTTCATTAGAAGTTTACAATCTATGTATTTCTGATCCCAAAAAGGGTACTGAACAGCTGCTTTTGACCATTTGCTTCATCAAAATAAATAAGGCTGAGGGTCAGACACTAATTTGAAATTTGTTCTAGGGGAATTTTAAAAATCAGTAACTCTCCACAGTGTCACAGACATAACTGGTAACAGTACAGCTTGACATCCTCCTCCTTCAGAAGCCCTTCTATGCACAGCCAGTCTCACTCTCCACAACACAGGAGAGTTTTTAAGCAAGCCATAGCTATCAGTTTGTGGGTTTGTGAGGTGGGGTTTTATTTGTCTCTACTTTTATCCTCCACATCCGCAAATGCTGCCAAGTTCTCCCACCTCTGAATTGTTACAAAAATTGTCTGTCTGTACTTCAGCTAAGAAAGTGAAAAATGCCACACCGACTTAAACTAGAGAACAGCAGCTTTAATACATTACAGAAAAAAGTGTATTTTACTGTGTACGCATGTCAGGAGATTTCACAGCTCCTTGGGTTAAATTAGAAGGACAGGTTAACAAATACAATTGATTCCCAGTGCACTTCCCACTTTCACCAAGTTCACAAATAGCTTGAGATTGGATTTCTAGTAGTTTATATTTTCCTTGGTATGGATCTTACTATGTCAAGTGCCCTTCTGTATTTTTATCAATGATCAGAAACTAAAATAAATCTGGGGAAAGACTAGTGAAATAATAAATCCTAAGAAGGAAGTGGAAGTACCAGACACAACAGGTAAACTGGGTCCACTCAAATATATGTTTCATAACAAAACACAAAGTTAAACATCTGTGATGAAGAAATAAATACCTGCCATACTTACAGAATGTATGTTGGAAAACACTGATTACACTTTTCCTGAAGTATGGCAGAAACAGATCAACAAGGTATAAGCAACTAATGCTGTAGGACTGCCTGTGTAATGATCAGCAAAGAGTACAGGTATGCGAACAAAGCAGCAGCAGGACCAGAGAGTAACTCTACCTTTCAGGTGACATTAGTGGCAGCAGTGTAACAACTACAGCTGAAGACACTCCACTTTTAGCCACATTTGTAAAGTTTCAGAAAAAAACAAAGTGAGAAGGAGACAGACATAAAAAGGATACGACAGCTGAAGAAAATGTTTTACAGTTAGAATCATTAAGAAATCAATCTGTTCATCATATCAACAGCACTGAGAAGTCACTCAGTGGGAAGGAAATGCCAGCTTCAGAAAGGTTTTTAATCTAGCAGAAGAGAGTAAAAGCACTGGATGGAACCTAAAGCCAAACTAATTACAGTAAAAAGACATCTTTATACCAGTGAGGGTGATTAATGACTGGAACAAACAGAAGGATGGGAGGGATGGGTTTTCCATCTCCTGTTTTGTTTGCATCAAGGTAGGATAACTTTCTGATTAAACCTATCTTCCAAAATTCAAGTTATACTCTGATTGAACGTACTTACTGAGCTTAATAGTGACATAAGTGAATGGCCCAGCACCCATCTTTCTAACGTAAAGTTTAACAAATGAAGTTCTGTTCCTGAAAAAGAGATTGCTTCTAAAGGACTGGATAAAACTAGATGTATACAAATAAACAGAAAAGGGAAATAAATAACCCATCAGAGTAGCTACAAGGAACAACAACTCTCTGTGTATTTATAGCATTCATTTTAAAGGAAAAATTTCAGCAACACAAAAATCAGAAACAAAGAGGAATATGCCTGTAATTTTTGCTAGTTACCTGCCTTAGCATGGCGCTTTGTGCTAGACAAGCAGATGTTGGCAGCGTAAGTCTGATTGCATAACCAGTACAAAGATCCATGTTCAAAATTGGGATGGGAACGCCAGACTAAGAAACTACAATCCTGCAAAACCCAATTAATCACTGCATGACTCTGAAGACAAGTCTGACCTGTAGCTAGTTTGATGGAAAGGAGCTGGGATGGCTTCAAATCTCTACTTCTAGGACTGTCTGCTTAAGTTAAGTTAAATGGGTGAAAAACAGAAACAGAGCTGGGAACAGATACCAGAATTCAGAAATCCCTGCTGCCAAAAGAGTATCCAAATTACTACTCTACACAAACTTTTTTCTTCTCCCTGTAAATGGCATTGAGAATTTCACCCTTCAGCCTTGAACAACATTAACTAAGGAGTCAGGCAAAACTCTTTTCAGTTGCATTGGTTCCCTAGCGATTAGCTCTAGACAGCTGCAGGCTGACAACGCTCAGTATTGAGGTGTACTAGATGCCACAGTGAAGTATCTCCTTCCAGTTCTCTGGGTTTGAACGCTTCAATCCAAACACAACAGTCTGAATTCCACTTTGGAAGAAAGACACTTAAAAGTAAGCCAACGAGGCATTGCATTTGGCTAAAAACATCTACTTATCCCACATCTCTGGTTATGCCTCTTCACCCATTAATTTGTCTGTAAAAAACTAGAATTTTCAAGTACTATTAAAGTGCCATCTTGCAAAAAGCTTGTCAGTTTTTAAATGGTATTAAAAATGCCACAAGACTCATGGTGGACACAGTTCACAGCAGATCTACTAAAGACTGTTGAGTGGAATTACAGCAAAAAGGGTGTCACATAATTGCTGCTCACTGACAAGAAAATTCTACCCTATCACATGTGGATAGAAGAGCAGAAAAAGAGAATGAGACGGAATGTAGGTGGAAGGCTTTGATCTACTTAAATCTCTAAATGCCAGACTGTGCAAAGTATGAAGGGCAAGTGACTAGAAGGAAAAGGAATGATGAAAAATTATTTATTTAATTTTTAAATGGAAAAATATTTTAAACCTTTCTGAAAACCAACTGTGAAACTTCATGTACTGTTGTTGAATTGTCACTGTAAGTCCTGTGACAAATTCTGTGGGATTTTTTGCCATAGTTCTGTAAAATGCAAAGAAATAATTCAAGTTCCCAAGTGTATTATCCAGAGATGTCTATATAACAAATATATTTCCCATGTAAGAATTTACAAAAAAAAAAACCACAAGAAATCAACCCCAAAACAAAACCAACCCCTAAACAAAAAAAAAATTCAAAACCACTGAAGAAACACAAGTCTCTTCCATTTAGAATTTACTAGAAATTGTCTAGAAGAGTTTGGCTTGATCTTACTGTTAAACCATATTTAGCTTTTATTAGGCATATAAAAAAAAACCCCACAACTTAGCAGGGAGTGATGAAAAAGCCAATACAGCAGTCTATCTTTTAGATATTCCCATGCCTTAGCAACTCTCCAGTCACCAATATATTGCCAGTGTAGGTTGCTCCATGTTTTTAAATATTAGCATTTTAGACAACAAGGAAAAAGGCCAAAAAGATTGGAAGAAACTTCTAGATTATCTGGTCCATCCTCTTTCCAAGGCATACCCAAAATTTTGTATCTCATTATACACTGATATGTATTTAATTTATTAAATTTTAGAGACCACAACTGTTATAGGTCCATGACTTGCCTAATCTATGTTGTTATGTGCTTATCCTTATTATCAGGAAGTTTTGCGTAAGTTTCATGTGAATTTTCTCAAGCATAGCCTAAGCCTACTGTTTCTTCTTTCATCCACATATTATTTTATTTAACAAATTTGAAGGCTGTTGCTGTGTTTCCCTTTCAAAGACTGATCACAGTGAACACGAAGTCCTGGTCAGGATCAGATGAACAGCAATAAACTGTGGAACTATGGTGAACTACTCAGTAAAACAAAGCATAGTGTTAGGAGTAGGCAATCCAAGGAGACAGGTTAGACCACTGTCCCTAGTATGAAATCTCACAGTGAGTCAAGAAAAGAACAACTCTGTCCCTAGAATACCATGCAAAACAAAGAAGTTCGTTGACTACAGAGGTATAGGGCTTACTATGTTTCAAGTCCTTACCTCTACCACAGTTGTCTTGGCAGCTTTGCACATAGGTTGGTTGAAGTTTCTTGCAGTTTTCCTGCAAAAGAAAATAAAGTGAATAAATATTAAAAGCTGTAATCGTACGAGGAAAGACTTTTCAGAGATAAGGTACTACAAGTATCTCTAGAATATAAATATCACAAATCTTTTTGCCAAATAGCTAGAGGACTATTACAAAAATAGGAGGGAGGAAAAAGTATTATGGAATTGTGTAAGATGCATATGAAATTTAATTATATTTTGCTACATTCGAAAATACTTGTTACAGCTCTTATGACTTTTAAACAGCACATTGTTTAACTGAAATTGGTACGCTACTGTTATCTTCATTTATTAGATCCAAGACCAGCAGCAAGCTAGGCTTTGTACAGTGTGCTTTCCCATTATTTCACTGCACAAAGAATGAAATTAATCTCCACAGGGGGGACAGCACAGGGCCCAACAGCCTCTCAAGTCCCACACGTGCCTTCATAATTCAGACTAGGACTTGGGATAGCACTTTGCAGAGTAGTAAATTTAATTCAGTTCTCTTGATTAAAAAAGCTGTGCCAGTTTTGGCACTTTACTGCAAGACTCTGGCATTCATCCTAAGTATTCCCACGCAGTATTTCTATAACAAGGAAAAAGAACCTCCAGGGTGTAAAAGCAACACATGACATGTATAACCATGCTGGGATCTGCACTGAGATCCTAGCAGACACAAGGAAAAACAAGTCACCTGTGTATACCTCTGTATTTTTCAGAAAGCAAACAAAACTGTGTGGTATAATATTTAAGAAAAATTATGCGTATTTTAGTAAGGTTCCATTGATAGCTTCTCAGCACTTTTCTCTTTTAAAATGTAGAAGTCTTGAAAATTTTTCATCAAAATGCATGAAACTAGTCAAAACTTGCTTTCATCCCATCCCCTTTCTGCAGAAGCATTTTTTTTTTCTAACCATCCTTTTCTCTTCACCCTTTTCTGCGATGACCATGCCTAGTGCTATAGCCATGCTGAACTTTAGGAGGCTGCTGCCACCTCGTGGCTTTGCGGGAGGTAGGGAATTGAAATGACCAAATCCTGAGACGACCATGCAGTTTTAATAGGATTTCTAGTGCAGAGACCTACAGAATCAAAGCTATACCCAAAGACACATGTCTTGAGGAAATCTTGTTTTATTGGCAATTCACAGCAGCTGTGAAGCCTCTAAGAGAGCTACAGAAGGGACAGTATCTTTTGTCCATGGGTTTCCTCTGTGCCTGTGTAAACACAGAATGTAAGAAGAGGAAACCATAAAAAAAAAAAGAAAATGGATTTATATTCTCCTCTTAGTGCATGAATACAATACTAGCTAGTAGTGATTTAGGGAAAACTACCCTAAACTAGGTAGAGTAGAAAATGAGAGGAAAAATAGAGTTACAAAAGCTGAATTAAAATAGCAGGGGAATGGATACATATGGGGCAAGGCAGATGTGAAAACAAAGAATTCAGTATTTCATCCCAAATGACTATTTTTCTGAGCCAAAAAACTTTCTCAAGATCATAGTGGCTGGTCTGCCACTGAAAGAAACTGACATAAAATTATTTTTTACCTAGGGGAAGAAGTTACAAGAAATCCTTTCAATGTCAAATTAAGAGGAGTTAATAGGCTTGATTCTGACCCTATTTATAAAAGCTTATGCAATTTAGAATGTTCTTGGTTTACTACAGTTGTTTCAGAAGCAGCAGCCTGTTCAAGATCAAAGGTCTTTTTTCTAAAGAAAACATCATCTATAAGAAGAAATCCCAGAAACACTATATTTAATTTCCAAAACAGAATGATGTTAGGAATTTGGCGTACGAAATCCAGAAACTAGCTAAGCAAGTTTGCCTTTTTATTTTAAGATAGCTTTCTGGACATCTAGATTCAGCAATGGCTACAGAGTCCATTGTTCCAGCAATGGATTCCTAAGCTGACCCAAAGGCATGACAACAGCTTTTCTCCCAAAGGCAAAAGATAGCAAACTAGTTCACAGCAGACTAAACCAACAAACTACATCCACTACATACCTAATGGTGCAGAGATGAAGGGACACCTCAGATACGACTTGAATTTATGTATTGCAGAACCACTTGAAGCATGAAGTGACCTAACATGACTGTCTGTGACAGCATGGCCTAGACTCAGGTTATCCCTTAAACATCTCTGTTCCCTTGTCAAGAGAGTACTTTAATCAGCACCAAACAGCACCTCCGCTTGTAAAGTTGGGCTAGAACAACTCCAAAGCAGAATGGTACCAGATGAAAAGGGAGGGCAGCCAAAGGAGGTAGAATATCCACAAAAGCTGTGGCACTCCTTGCTGTCGTTCCTAATGAGCAAAGCTCCACAGGAGCTTAAGACCTGGAGACACTCTGTTCTGCTAAGTAGTACTAGTACCTGCATCAGACTAACAAAGCAAAATGCCCATACATGCATCTTTTCAGCTAGCACAGGAAAAAGGTGGGAGGGAGTCATGGATTATTTGTCTTGGCAATGGTGCACTATACTTAAGAAAAATTATCTACTGGGCCACACACAGGTCTTGTTAGGGAAAAGCTGTGGTGCAGAATAGTCCACTCAGCATAAAGATGTCTGGAAGGAAAGCAGCCACAGCATGCTGTATTGAACAAAAGAGCTAGGGGACACGAAGTATCATGTAGAAAACCTTGTTTAAAAAAATTGCTTTCTAAAGCACCCAGTACATTCTGGATCACCAACAGTACAGATTCATGTAAGAGAATAGACAAAAAAACTCATGCTGGCCTGTGGTACAAATAAGTCCACCTAAAGTACATTCTTTAAATTTTAAAAATCTCTTAGCTTGAGGGTGATTAACAGTTTGGCAGACACTTACACCATTCCTATTGTCTCCACAGATACTGGAGTCATGGGAAACACACTATAAATAGTACCACACTGCATGAAAGCAGTGGCAGATGCGAGTAAACAGAGCCTATGTCTACCTAGGCATACCTCAGCAAACAAAAACAGAAGTCATATAATAACAAAAGTATGGAAGGATCCCACTGGCAGTGAATACATACTCAGTATGTAGCACGATGTCAAAAATACATTTTCCTTTTCATCCTGTAGATCACAGAAATATTGCCATTATATTACAATCTATTATAATTTCCTCCTCTATTCTCTTCCACAGACTATGAGATAAGCCTATGTTTCTCTGTTGTAGGCCATGAGGTAATGTGTATCCCATGCAAAACCAGAATGGGTCACTGCTTATTACAAGCAAACGCTTTTAAGCTAGCAATACTATACATGGAATAAGACACTGGATGATGATGTTTCTATCTTTGATTAGCTACATTTGAAAGGAGGAGTCAAGATTTTTAGGTCTTCACTCCAGACGGAAGTAGTATCTAGTATCAATGGTATTGTGTGAATGTGGGAGAGATATGAAGACTTCTGAAAGAAACAGAAGGGAGAGGGAAAGGCATAAAGAGAGACCACGGGACATAAAGGAAGAGGGGGAAAAAAGGGATAACGCAGCCAGTCTGTTTCTGTGGAAAATGAAAGAATTTTTCAGAGATAAGTAAGCATCAGTAGACAGATACAGGGTAAAAGCACAGACAGTAGAGATCAAACAAAGAGAAGCCCAAGGAGGAAGACTGTTTCCTGTATTCCATGTCCTAGAGCCTAAGGAAAGCAGTTTAGTAGCCATCAAATTCATGTGTACACACAAAAGAAAGTCCAGTTTTCAATCAGAAACAATCTTGTCTTGCCAGTAGGCAGGCCAGGATGTCAAGAGTTTGGTCAAATAAAAGATTCTTCCTTAATTTTAAAGTATTTTAATTTATTATTATATCTGTAAGATATATAGATAAAAATTTATGTGAATACATGTGTATATATACATATATACACAAAAAATATTACTTTAACACTATAATTTTATCTGCATATTTTTCAGTCGCTTTTTCAACTCCTTGTTTGTTTTAATACATACAAAGATAGACTGCATCATTCGGCATCTTCTTGTAGTAAACTGCAACTGATTACCATAACACTTACCTTTTCGTCTGATAGCCATAAAACAAACAAATAAAAACCAGACATTAAACATCAGCAAACCTCTCCTGCTTCAGTTCAGGACAAACCAGAGCACAAATACAGCAGCTCAAATAAATGATGTTATCACTAGTGCAATATCCAAACTTTTCACTACAAAAGATGTTTAAATTCATATGATGCCTCTCCCTACAACACCAAGATCAAATTGACTTTAAACATGCTTTTCTGGGGACAGAATCAAGTCTTCCCATCACTGACTGGCCAGGAGACTGACTCAGCTCCCTTCTCTTCTGACATACATGAACCTGCACTTCTTGGGTCAGCCTTCAATTGCACAAGGAAAAGGACCCAAACTAACATAAAAATTGAAATGAACAGAATGTCACCATATTTCTCCACAGTCATCATAATGACTTTGGTGTGCTATGTCTCATTTTTAACTCCCAATGTTTTATATCACAGCTATGTTTGAATTCTCAAAAGTCATTAGGAAAAGCAATTATATTTTGTTTTTTATAGCAGTATAACTTGACAGTAGGGAAAGGCAATATGAAAGAAAGTTAAATCAGTAAAACATTATTTTGCCATCACACAGGAGACAGGACTCTCTTTCTCTTTCATTTTCTGAACCATTAAAGAATCTTTTCCCACTGGTAAACAAGTTATACCTGAAAATTATGTTTCCTGCACGATCAGCCTTCCATGCCTTCACAAGAGCAAAATCTCCTGTAATCGACTTCTCCAGAATAAAGTGACGCCCATCAAACTCTCGTACCTACAGAGAAAAACACACTACTGAGATGCAGGTTTCTTCAAACAGATCTCCCATGTAGTATTTATTTTATGGGGTTAATTTTACAGACTATTGTATTTAGACTTCTTTTTGTACTACATAAAGTTTCATCTGAAAAACTGTAGCTCAACTGTATAATAACAGAGAAGCATGGAAAGGCTGTAAACCCCAGTTTCATCACAGCATCTCTGTTGACTGAAACAGAATGAGAATCAGATCCATACTCTTGCTGCTCCATCTACTGGAATGAGACATGCTTTTTCCTGCACATCTACCAGCTAACCAAAAACTGAAGTGCTAAAGGAGAACTGTTGAAAAAGTTCATAATCACTGCTCACCACCAGAAACTCCAAATCTAAAATGAAGTGGATTTGAGACAGAATACTCAAATCACATCATCTGACAGGCTAAATTTCATTTGGTTTTCTCTGCATTTATGATGAATATTTGTAATGATATTGAAGCCCGAATATGTAACTGACAAACAGCTAGTGTTTTAAACCTATATAGAACCATGAAATAGCATTTCTCATAACAATACAGAAGGTTAGAGTATATGCAAATACTACTTGAGAGCTATTTAAAATTTCTGAGAGGGGGAAGAAGTATGACAAAAGTGTATCTGAAGCCAGTTTTTTGGTCCTGTAAAAGGAGATCTAAGCTTTTATAAAATGACACTTACATTCAGAATGGATTTGAAGAATGGATTTGATCAAATCATGCTAGTCATGTTATTATTCCCCCAAAAGACTGAGAAGAGTAAAAGACACTTTTCCACAAATGTTAAAATTGGAAGAAAAATGTTATCAAAATTATAAGCTATTTAATAAACAAAACACTCCTTCAAATGGTAAAAAATCATAATGACATACTCAGTAAGAAAATAAAGAAAAAAAAAGACAAAGTTAATGATTGGATACTGAAAATAGCCATGTATAAAATATATGAAAACCATTTTTTGTAATTACCTTTACCCCAGAGACATTCTTGAGGTAGAATTTAATGCTGTTTGCAGCCTAACTGAAACATACAGCATTAGCCCCATCCATTTCTTCAAGTACAGTTATGGCACTGAGACATCTCTTCCCTTCTCCAAATTCTACATCCAATTTCAATATGAAGCCCTTGTTTCTCACTTGGAAGCCACATTCTTTTTATTTGTTTGCAATTTGAAATACTCAGACTAAATTGCATTTCAGTTGTTGACAAATGCGTTTCCTGAGATTTTGTGTCGAGTTAAAGCTTCATGTACAGCTTCAGGGCTACTTACTCCAACAGAACAAGATTTTCTTTGAATATGCAGTGAATCTGGTCAGAGAACTATCAAGTGAAGAGTAATTCAGCAAGGTAGATTTATACCTGGACCAGTTTTTGATGCTAAGTCACCCTAAAGCTCTAAAAACTTTTCTAACACATCACAGAGGACAGAAGTGAGCAGTCAGAGGAAAAGTAATGTGTCTGGTACCACAGCCATCCTGTTAATCCAATATACCAAGGTCAAACTTGGCCAGGAGGTGCTTAAGCTACTGTTTATCTTGGATACACATAAGAAATTCAGTTTTCAAAGCAGAAGGCTTCCTAATTAACAAACTGATGTCTTACCTCTCTTGGCTGGCTAGCAATGGCAACGGTGCCATCTGTATTGTATTTGATAGGCGCACCCCCTTCCTGCACCAGCGTCCCATAGCCAGTACTGGTGTAAAAAGCTGGGATTCCCGCTCCTCCTGCTCTAATACGTTCAGCGAGCGTACCCTATGGGAAAACACATTTAAGAACCAGTAATTTGGGAACAACAAATCAAACTTTGATGAATGGCTTGCATGAACTTATTTTTACATCTTGTCATTTGGAGCTTTTTCTTCTGACTCAGCAGACCATCACATCTATTTCTTCCTCTTCTTTTAGCTGTCCTTTGCAAGATTGGCACTGGATATGGCAAGACCCACATACTGGACATGATGCACACAGTCACAAATTGCTCAAGAGCACACCGTCACAACTCACTGTCAACGCCCGAGCCACAGCACTTTGCTGTGCCTCCTCTCCTTTGGCTTGTTTCCTAATCTATTACTCTGAGAAGAGCTCAGAGTTCTTTTTCTCCTTCCCACCTGGTTACATATGCTAGAATGTTTTTCTTTTGTAACAGTCCTATATATTTATGTCTCATTCTCCAACATCTTACAAAAAATCTCATTCCAAGATGAAACAGCCACACATAGCAGATCGAGAAAGGAAAAGGGAGTCCAGTGATCTGGGTTGCTTGTGCTAAGAATAGCAAGAAGCTGACAGAACAGCATTTCTACTCTATTTGACCACTCCACCTTCACTCTGCTCTATGTCCAGCTGAACCACAGATACTACCAGCTGAAATTCCTCATCAGCCTTAATTATGGATACCAAAGCCATGTCTGCCTGCTTTTCATTAGTGTCCTTTCCCAAATTGTTTTGATATTTTTCTGGATTCAAACCAAGACAAGACCATCATGGTCAATTATCTATCCAGAATACAGGTTGTATTTTCCTTAGTTATCCTGCAAGAAACAAAACGACTTTTGGTAGGTTTACAAAATGGTGGTAAGAGGTAGATGCGAATCACGCAATGATACCAAGTCCTGTATTCCAAGCACCCTTAGCATTTCAAGGTCTCACCATGACCTCTCCCTTACTGTGTAACAAGGACACAACAGTCCTCCATTTTGCCTAAAATCATACCAAACTTGAAGAGAGTTTTCCAAAAGGTTATTTTACCTTGATACAAATATTTCAAATTCCCGCATCTCCTAGGAAGTCATTAATTCACCTTACTGTTTACCATTGCACACTGTAGATACAGTATTTTCATGCTGGATCTACATAGCTTGTCTGTGCAGTCCACAAAGCAAATTATATGTCTAAGGAGTTCAAGGTCTTCTAGATGAAAGCATTGAACATGAAGTAGGAAGAAAATAAAAATTAATTGTGAGAGTTGTTTTAAAACATGAGAAATGACCAGTGCCTGGTTATTTCCATGTCAGCTGACTGGGTATAAAAGGACCTTTTCTTTTTTCTCCCCCTATCTCTGGGATTCAAGAGATATTCTCAAGAGATGGAGTCCAACATTCTCTTCTCCATAAAAACTTAAGACTGTTGCTTTTCCCAGGGACTTAATAGCTGTTTAAAACCCAAAGGTTATGTTTGACCTTTGGAAATGCCACACACTAATATGCTGTAGGCTTTAGAGAACTAATTTCACAAAACTAGACCTCAATAGATTGTGACTGATACTCATGATTTTAATATCTCATTGCATTCAGGTTATTTGGGTAGTTTGACAGTGCTAAAATAATTAAAATTATGGTGCTAAAAATTAAAGTTGTAAATATTGGCTCATAACACTATTAAGAGATTAATTAGTTAAGATTTAATGAACAAGCCCAACAGAGACGTCTCACAATGAACTGCAATCTCCTAATTTGATTCCTACCCACTAGATGGCAGACACTGCACACACAACATCCCCACAGGAGCTGCCACCAATAAGGGACTTCAGCAACTTCCCGACTTTTTTCCCCTTATATCGGACACAGTAGTGAGCATTCTTCGTGCTGTTTTCTACAGTTTGTGAGGAACTACCAAAAATCAAACACTGTACAATAAAATATACGTATGTATATGTATGTGTGTGTATACAAATATATACTTGAAATGAATACAATGTAACAAGCTGTAAAAGGAATTCACATAATATGACCAGTCAGTTCTTAACACACCAGTTGCAGCCTACAGCCCATGATCCAGACAAGTGCTGTCTGTCTTTACTGCACATCTGCACACAAGCAAAACATTTGGATTGCAAAATAATTTTGTAAGAGCACTTACACATTATTCTACTCAGTATTTTAGATGGAAAGAAATCACCAGTCTCCTGGAGACACCCCTTACCTGCGGTGTAAGCTCAACTTCAAGCTCACCAGATAAATACTGGCGTTCAAATTCAGCATTCTCTCCAACATATGATGAGACCATGCGTTTTATCTGCTTAGTCTGAAGCAGAAGGCCAAGTCCAAAATTGTCAACACTGTGTAGAAAAAAGCCAGACAATACTCAGCATTTATAACAGAGTTTTGTTGTATTCAAAGCACTTGATAAGCATTAGTGACTTAAAAAAATAGGACAAAGTTATGTCCCCCCACTTTAGACATAAGGAATAGGAGGCAAAAACCAAAATCCAGCTTGTAGGAGGGAGAACATCAAAGCTACAATTAAAATTTAGGACTCCAGTGCTCAGACCTCAACTCTTCCAAGGCAATGAATACATTCAAAACTGCATTTTAGAGACATTTCACATGTAACAGCTACAAATATCAGCTTTACAAGTGGTGTTATTTTACATAGTTGCTCCTTTGAAAAGCCTTACTAATTAATAAAAAGTCACACATGGCACAACCCAATTTTGAGTGAAAAAACACTTGCTTTTCATTTAAACTCCTGCTCCCCAGGAAAAAGGCAAGTGATTGCCTAGCAGCTCAAGGAGAGCATTTATAGTACATTTATAGTACTGGTTTGTACGTAAGGTAAGACACTATTTGCATTTAAATTTTCTTATTACAGTAAATAATTCACTTCTTAAGAAATTGCCTACTCCAGCAGAAGACGTAAACACTGCAGTCAAGATTTCTTCTGTGTCATATCAGCTTAAACTCAATGCCAAAGATAACGTTTTTCTTGTGCCAGTGCTTCTAAATTCTGATATCCTAAAGATGTTACTCTCCATTAGTATCCAGCATTTTTGTGATGTTTGTCACCCTATACTGAGTACTGATGGGACAAAAATATATTTCAAGAGTTCCTGTAACAAAAGGGCTCTGTAAAAGAAGCTATTTCAACTTAAAGGAAAAAAAAAAAGATATTAAAATATAAAACTGGAAATAAACAGAGACGATACTACAAAGTCATGTTTCTTTCATATTTCCAACACATTATGCAGGATGTTGGCAGACTTTTACATCTGTGCAAAGTTCCTCGACATTTATGTTAGTCTCTGCAACGCCTGAGTGGAGAACTCAAAGACTTTCCACTCCCACTACAGGAAAGATGCCATGATCCAGAAGCACCTCACAAAAAGTGATGTGTATCTGCCACTAATTGTCTCAATTCAGTATGACTTAATTATCCACACAATTGCTTGAGATTTCAGGATAAGAAATATTGAAAAATATTAAAAGAATCCTTTAAGAAACCAAATCCAGTATCTAGCATGCTGTAATTAATATGCACATGGGCTTTTAATATTTGTGTTCTATCAAAAACATGACTCCTGAAGCAAAGCTCCAAAAAGGCTGTCTGTATTTTCTAATTCTACTGATTGCTTTAATGAAATATATCCCTTTCCTACATAAATTTCACCCTCTTGATACTCTTATAGCACCATGTCTACAATACAGCTTGCTTCTCAAGGTCCTGTCAGAAATGAACTCTTTCCACTAATGACCAGATGGAGAAAGTAAGGTATCAGACTGCTTTCCCTCTATTCTCCCCCCTTATAACCTTACTCAAATTATCAGTAAGTATATCCCCTAACCCTGGCTTTATAAGCTACGGTGATGAGGAAAAACAATGTAAAGGAGATATGTATCAGTACTGTAACACAAATCTATACTCCCCATATGATAAATAATATCTTACTCAAAAAAGGGGAAAATCCCAGCTTAAAAATCAAAATACGATACAAAGTGAGCTGAGAGGTATTTGTTTGGTATAATAAATCAGTGTAGCATCAGAGGAAAGAACCCACAAGCCACAACCAAACCTCACTGAATGTACATTAATGCTCCACCACTTCAGGATCCACATCAGACAACCCAGCTGCAAACTCCTGGCATCCTTTCAAAAGGACAGATTCAAAAAGTTTACTATTATACAACAGCTGCATGAACAATGTATTGGGTTTGCTTGGCAAGGTTTTGGTAGCAGGGGGGCTACAGGAGTAGCTTCTGCAAGAAGCTGCTTCCCCTGTGTCCAACAGAGCCAATGCCAGCCAGCTCCAAGACGGACCCACCGCTGGCTGAGGCCAAGCCCATCAGCGACAGTGGTAGTGTCTCTGGGATAACTTAGTTAAGAAAGAAAAAAAAAAAAAAGGAACAGCAGCTTTTGCAGCCAGAGAGAGGAGTGAGAAGATGTAAGAAACTCTGCAGACACCAAGGTCAGTGCAGAAGGAGGGGGAGGAGGTGCTCCAGGCACTGGAGCAGAGCTTCCACCTGCAGCCCATGGTGAAGACCATGGTGAAGCAGGCTGTCCCCCTGCAGCCCATGGAGGAAGGATGAGGGGGTGTAGAGATTCCCCCTGCAGCCCATGGAGGACCCCACGCCAGAGCAGGTGGAGACGCCTGAAGGAGACTATGACCCCATGGGAAGCCCGCACTAGAGCAAGCTCCTGGCAGGACCTGTGGACCCGTGGAAAGAGGAGCCCACGCTGGAACAGGTTTGCTGGCAGGACTTGTGGACCTGTGGGCAGTCTGTTCCTGAAGGTCTGCACCCCGTAGAAGGGACCCACACTGGAGCAGTTCATGAAGAACTGTAGCCCATGGGAAGGACTCATGTTGGAGAAGTTCATGGAGGACTGTCTCCCGTGGGAGGGACCCCACACTGGAGCAGGGGCAGAGTGTGAGGAGTCCTCCCCCTGAGGAGGAAGGAGCAGCAGAGACAACATGTGACGAACTGACCACAACCCCCATTCCCCATCCCCCTGTGCCACTGGCAGGGAAGAGGGAGAGAAATTGGGAGTGAAGTTGAGCCCAGGAAGATGGGAGGGGTGGGAGTAGGTGTTTTAAGATTTGGGTTTATTTCTCATTTCTCTAGTCTGATTTGTTTGGTAACAAATTAGATAACTTTTTTTTCTACGTTGAGTCTGTTTTGCTCATGATGGTAATTGGTGAGTGATCTCTCCCTGTCCTTATCTTGACCGAGAAGCCTTTCGTTGTTTTTTCTCTCCCATCCAGCTGAGAAGGGGGCATGACAGAGAAGCTTTGGTGGGCACCTGCCCTCCAGTCAGGGTCAACTCACCACAGACAGATGTGCAGTGAGAAACACCCCTCAACTACATGCATAATGAGGACTATTTTAAGGTTAGGACTGTTTTAAGAAGATAGCCCACTTCTATGCATACTCAGGCATTTTGGAAACTGTATGAGACGAAGTGAAACAAGCTTCTCTGACCCAGTTCTCTCAATTTATTCTATGTTCTCTAGATGTAAAGAAATTTACTTACTATAAAAGCTTTCTCCACTCCCCAACTCTGACCTATTAAAAAAAATTAAAAATCTAACTCTGTTGCAATGTTAAAAGTGTTGCAGTGCCAAAGCCTCGAGAATAAAATGTGCACTGCCTGGGAACAACCTATATTTCTAACTCCCTACAGGAAAAAAATCCAGCAGTTTGAAACTAAAAGAGCTTGGAATAGAGGAGAAGTCTTGTGGGCAAAGAAAGGGATTCAAAAAAAAAAAAAAAAAGGAATAAAAATACAAGTGCCAGAATTTCCTGTATAGGGTCACACAAACAAGACAATCTCTCTCACAAGAAAACCATCAAACCCTGATCTCTCATTATAAAAGGTAATCAACAAATGTAACAGTTGAGCCACTATCTGATAGCAGTTTAATGGGTTTGTATAAATAGAGTACTGTGTAGCAAAAGTACAGACGTTCATACGACCATACTTCCCTAGCACAATGAGAATAGGAATTTTACTTTCAGAAAGTCATACACCAAGAGGTTCTGCCTGCCTGATAACACAAAATTACTTCAATTCCCAGGTGCAGTTCTTCTTCAGAGCAGCATCATAAAATCTAATTCCTGTTACTCATATGTTTATTTTAGATGCAAATTTCTTAAAAGAAATATCGTGCCATCCATCTTTCTTAAGGATGCAATTTGCATTCAACTTTCCAGCTGAAATAACCCTTTTGCTTTCCATGTATGTCAGTTTTCCTTTCATCTCCCTCCAAAAACTCATTTTGAGTACTTCAGCATTATTTTACTTTTCCTATGTTTTTTTCTTATATTTGAATGTCCTAAGAAGCCAAGATTTTACACAGCAGTGAAAATGTTGTTCTCACTCCTATTTTCCCTACCCTTTGCTCTTGACTTGACATTTCTATTCCAGAGTAAAAATAAAAACCAAGTTCTGGTTTAGGTAAATTTCTTTAAATATAACATTTCAATATAACATTTTTAACGCTACTTACTTGTTCTACCTCTCCATATTTTACTGCTTTCTTGGTTGTTTTGTTTTAGGTGCCAAAGTTTCTTTGAACTTTTCAGCTTAAATTACATCAATGCTGAAAATGTTACCCCTAAAATATCTGTCCTGCAGGCAATGCCCTTCCTATCAAATAGTAACCCTAGAAAGGAAAACAGATCTTTTGTCAAGTGCTTGGAAAGAATACATCCTATATTAAAAGAAAATTTGAAAAGCTGGGTTCAGTCCTTTAAAAATTTAAACAAAAGTGAGTGCAATAAAAATGCATTGCCCTAGACAGGAAGGAAAAAACCATGGTGGAAGTTCACGTAATTATGTATGCTGTCAGAAAAGGGAAAGTGCTAGACACAGAATGCGTTCTTTTTGCCCTCAAAATTGTTATAATCTCTCAAAGTTTCCCCATTCTGTACTAGGATAACAACTGAATCAACAGAAAAATGAGACACATATAGGAAAAAAGATCTAATCTGGCACTTATCAAGAACATAGGTGACAAGTTCCCCATTCTACTGATGTGGATGAGAAAAAGTAATCACAACTAAGGAGGTCTGGTTGTTTAGCAACAGAAACCTTCCTATTGTTTTGTCTGGCTCAGACCTACAAAACCTTCCTGTCAAAAACCAATGTCTGCCTTTTCTCATTAAAAAATTAGCCTTTTCTCATTAAAAAATTTTTAAAAAAATTATTCCTAGCCGTATCTAGCCCACATATCTCAAGCATACTGGAAGCAGTCAAAGGCAACATGTCAATGTGGCACTCCAGATAAATGGTAATTTGCAGCTCTCAAACTTTTTTCTTTGGTGGCTCAAGCAAAACACATTC